CCTAGGATATTGATCTTTATTTGTTCCATTTCATTTTTGACGACTTCCAATTTTCCTAGATTCATATTTTGTACATTCCATGTTCTGATTATTAATGAATATTTGTGGCTGTTTCTTCTCATTTTGAGTTGTGCTACGTTAGCAAATGGAGGTCCTGAAAGCTCTACTTTATCCATATCATTAAGGTAAGCTCTACTCTGATGAGGCAGCTCTTTCCCAGTCGTATCTTGAGTGCCTTCTGACCTGAGGTGCTCATCTTCCAGCACTGTATCGGACAATGTTTCCTAGCTATTCATGAAGTTGTCCAGTAATATATCAGTGTTTCACTGCTATTCGTAAGGTTTTCACTGGCCAATTCTTTGAGAAGTGGATGGCCTCTTCCTTCTTCTGAGTTTGTCTTAGTGTGGAACGTTCTCTGAAACCTGTCTACCATGGCTACCCTGCTGGCATTTGAAACACCAGTGGTACAGCCTCCAGGCTCACAGCAACACACAGGCCACCACAGAAGGACAAACGTGTGTGTGTGTGTGTATAAAATATATATTTATATTTATGTATGAAATTGACTTATACTGCTGTTGGGGGCTGGCTAAGCAAATGAAAAGTTCACAAGGCAAGCAGGCAGCCAGGCAGGGAAGATCGTGAGCAGGCTGAAACCCCACTAGTTTGAGCTGAAGGTGGAAGGTCACAGGCAGGCAGTTAGGAAGGAAAGATCTAGTAGGAGGAGAGAGCAATTGCAGACCCTGCTGCTGCTGCTTGTAATGCCTGATAGCAGGGAGGAGTTAAACATTCTCTTAAAGCACTTCCAACTGTTTAAGTCAGGCTCACCTAGAATAATGTCTCTTTTGATTCATGTAAAGTCAACTGATTGGAAATTTTAATGATACCTGAAAAGTCTCTTCACAGTAGCTTGAATAACTGGTAGAAGATGTATGTATCCTACAAAATAATTGCTTTGTAGAAATCTTTCCATCTTCCCAACTCCTTCCAGAGAATATCCCTCATAGGTACCCCCACACAACCAGAAACAGAGAAATAAAAAGGGAATTCTAAGGAATATAGATCAGTGTAACTCAAGTTGATAACATTGAAAACCCTCACAGGTGTATATGGATTTTCTCTTTTGTAAACAGTGCTTGTATTATACATTATGTATCTGTTCAATAGTTTCTTGGGATAAATTTCTTAAAAGTGGAAGAGGATTTTGAACTGTTTTTTAAACTAGTAAGGTGGAAATGAATGGTAAATTATGATTTTTGAATGAATACCTTGAACCTTATGTTAGGCTGAGTTCTCTAGAGAAGCAAAACCAGTAAAGCTTATATGTACATATAGAGAAAGAGGAATTTATCTTAGGAAAATGGCTCACACACTTATAAAAGCTGGCATGTTCCAAGTTCTTGGATCAAATGTCAAGCTGAGGCTTTTCCTGACTCACGCAGCTGTAGGGGCTGAGGAGCTCAAGGTTGGCAGGTAGTATACTGAGTATACTGGCTAGCCCAAATGACAGGGCTTTGAGGTCCAGAGCACAGTGGTGCCTGGGACATAGCAGTTCCAAGAATCTGGGCTCCAGGGCCACCTCCATGTCATCCTCCTCCTTGTATGACACTGATTTTGCTTAACAACCTGATCTTTGATCCCTTTTAATGAATTGGCTGCTCAAAACATACACATCTGATCCCATCATGGGAATAAACCACATCACAATTGCTTAAACTACACAGAATTGTGGTCCAGCCAAGTTGACACACAGTTCTAACTATCACAAACCTCTAGAGAGTTAAAGAAGGATAAAAATAATAGTCTTGTATGTTGAACATTGTATATTTCAAAATCTTTTATAACAACTGGCATATTTAAAATTTTTACTTACTTTATATTTTAATGGCAAGATTTTCCAATGCATTATTTGAGTTTCTTTTCTTTTTTTTTCGTCGTCGTCATCTTTTTAATAGTTAGCTAGGGGAGCTCTGGTAGCATAGTGGCTAAGACACTTGACTGCTAACCAAAAGGCTGGCAGTTCAAAC